ATTCATAACCTTGTTTATTGACATATAAATGAATCAAATGCCAACAGTTATCCACCCTATTCTCACTCTTTTTGCTAAAAAATTGAAGGAAAGAAAAATTACTCAAATTCTAGTTTTAATGGATTCAACAAAAACCTAGGTATGATTCATTGTATTTACTAGTTAGAGAGTTTCACTTTCAGTCAAAATTAAATTTTAGATTGCAAGAGGAGCAATACAAAAGTAAACATGAAACAACATGTATTAACTAAGAATAAATAGCACAAAGCTAATACTAGCTAATAATGACTAATAAATAAGAGTATATCCAAGATTTGAAGTACCATAAGTTGATTTGATCATCGTACAATGAAAAAATGTAATACCAAGGTGTGAAGGAGAAAAGATAAAATGCTTGTAGAGTTGTGTGATCGTAGGCAGCAAGATTCATAGGCTAATGCATGTAATAATTCTTCAACATAGACAAGGTAAGAAACCACAACTGTTTGATGTTGATTGTGGACATTCCTAATATTCATAATATCATATATCCACCAACAAACCTCCGAAGTTGTATAAGAGAAATTTTAAGGGGACTTCTGCACAAGTGGTGCTATTACGCAAGTCGAGATCTTAGACTTTTGTTCATTAGGATTTTTCCCCCCCAAGATGAGCTATTTGAAAAGTTAAAACTAAGTTACAAGTGATCATTATAACTAGAAAAGCTTGAAGCTAAATAATGAGACCCTAACACTAACAACGGGAGAAAGGATTGAACCTTGTCTAATGAGCTAAGAAAGGTTGTGACTTCAATTATTGCATTAGAAGCCCTTCACACAAAAAAAGCTTTAGGGTTTTGAAATCTTCAATAAAGTATATGAAATTTTACAAAAGGCTATATTTCTTAATATCATGAAATGACAATTCCAGTTGTTTAAGAAAAATTTCATAACAAGCTAACTATCAAATTCATCATTAATAGAAGAGAAATTAGCTACGCACTCTACAACAGATCATCAAATATTGAAACTTTAACTATTTCATAGAGCGTCATTTAAAAAATCGTAAAAAAATCACAACTTGTGCCATAAACAATCAAGATTTTTTTTGAAGTGAAAAACAGGGTGAGGTACCCTGTTCAATAATAATATATATAACTAAGATGAAAAGTTTTTTTTTGAAGTGAAAAACAGGGTGAGGTACCCTGTTCAATAATAATATATATAACTAAGATGAAAAGTCTATTACAAGTCCAACATAGAAGCAGCAATAATAATATATATAACTAAGATGAAAAGTCTATTACAAGTCCAACATAGAAGCAGAGAGGAAGGATCAAAGAAGAGAAGCAGCTGGTAATGAGCTGACCTAGTCGTCACCTACCAAGCTAAGCCTACTGAGATCCTTCACTCAAAACCAAAAGAAAGACATCACCAGCTAATATAGAGTCTGGTACACAAATCACAAACACTGGAAGCATACAGCACAATAAAACAAACAAACTAGTTTCCGATAGTATAAGCAGACGTTGGGAGAGACGCACTGAGAGAGAGCCACCGAACAATTCAGATATCTTCGGAGAAGTTATCACCGCTAGCACCTGCGGTGTTCTTCTTTGCAATTTCCTGCATCTTCAAGTTAAGAGCCGCCCTACGAATGCGCCTTGCAAGTCTATCTTCTTCTACCCCTATCTAAAAGATGACATACCTTGCGATATTAGCAGCAATATGAATAGGATTTGCAGGGAAATCTATAAATATAAGAAGATTTATACAATTCCACACCCACCATCAGAAGCAAGGTAACAAGTATTTCCGGATGACTTTAATGTCTGCACAAAGATTGGGGTCCCTGTATAATAGGATCAACGCCTCCATGGATTGAGGCCATCTAACAAAAGAAGCATGATGGAGGAGGGAAGACTAGACCGAACACGCAAATGGGCAGTGAATAAACATGTGTTCTTGAGTTTCGACCTTCTGGTAGCAGTGAGGACAACGTGAGTCACTAATCCAACCTTTGGTGATCAAATTAGCTCTGATATTAAGCTTTTGTTTAGAAATAATCCAAAACAAGACCTTGACCTTTAAGGGGATGTGAGATTTCCAGATGAACTTATAAATATTGGACTTCAGCCCACCAAAGGTGATGTTGGCATAGTAGGATTTTACTGAAAAGGAGCCAGATGGATGCAAGGGCTACCGTAAGCTGTCTGGAGTTGTATTGATTGCAACAGAGTGCGCTTCGAGGTGGGTTAGAAGCTTATAAATATCACTTCTCTCTTCATAGGTGATACCCCTTCTGAGAATGGGATGCCATTTCTAGGCAGATTGATGCAAATAACCTTAGGACCGGACAGAGCTGCCACAAGAGAAAGCAAGGTGGCATGCTTTTGGAAATAGGCTGATAAGGGAGTTAGCATCAGTTCACTTATCAAACAAGAATCTACAAGTTTTGCCATCCCCCACCTTCCATCTAACCATACTGAAGAATGTAGAGTGAATAGAATGCAAATCAAATATGAATTTGGATGCGGAACTTTTTGGAACATGCACAAATGGATTATAATTGTCTTTAGAATATAGAGAGAAAATGACTTTACTGAAGATTGAGTTTCTATCAAAAGATTTCCAAATCCACTTGTAGAGAAGGACATGGTTGAAAGAAGAGATATCGATGACTCCCAACCCACCTTCATGCTTAGACTTACAAACAGTAGCCCAATTGACTAGGCATTTAGCTTTTGACTGAGAATGGCTGTCATTCCATAGAAATTTCCTCCTGATTCTGTCAATGGCCTTAACAACCCATGAGAGCAATTTGAAGAAGGACATATAATAGATAGGTATAGAAGAGAGGACATATAATAGATAGGTATAGAAGAGAGGACACAGTTGAGAAGAGTGAGTCTACCTCCATTGGAAAGAGACCTATTTTTCCAAAGAGACAATTTTTTCATGAAAGAGTCCAGGAGAGGTTGTCACTCCCTTCTAGACAAAGAGCCTCTTTTGAGAGGGAGGCCAAGGTAAGATAAAGGGAGAGAGCCAGTAGAGCAGTTGAGAATGGATGCTAGTTGAGAGCTTTTGTGGGGCATTTTGCCAAGGTAGAAGAGATTTGTTTTTGAGAGTTGACTTGAAGGCTAGAGATGTTGGCAAAGAGAAGCAAGATAGTTTTGAGTATGATCATGTCAGATGGAGAAGCCCTACTGAAAATAATAGTGTCATCAGCGAATTGAAGGGCTCTGATGGAATTAAGCTCTCCCTTCAACTAAAGATTAGATAAGTCCCCCGAAGTTGCACTTGTAGTTAACATCTTGTTTAAAACATCAACTACAATAAAAAATAACATGGGGGATAAGGGATCACCTTGTTTGAGACCCCTAAAACATCTGAAAAAGATTGTAGAGGACCCGTTAACTAAGACAACTGATTTAGAGGAGGACAAAATATGGTGGATCCAAAGGCACCATTTTTGGCCAAAGCCTCTGGCTTGAAGGAGGGAGATGAGAAAATTTCAGTTTACACAGTCAAAAGCCTTGAAGAAATCAACTTTGATTGCACATATCTCTTTCTTGCCAGAGGAACAGAAGTTTATCATGTCATGAGCAAGAAGAATAGAATCCAAAGTGGATTTACCAGACTGAAATGCTGACTGGGAGTTATCCACCAACTGATGTAAGAATTTGCTCAAGATTTGCAGTTAATACCAATCAAAAAAGTGAGAGTAAAAGAGAGGCTGTATGTTTACCAGTGGTGAGAGAGAGGTTCCAACCTAGATATGCTAATACATAGAAACACGAGGTGAGGCAAGGTGAGTCGGAGGTGACACATAGAAAGGAGAGGTCGACCTAGGTTTATCTCATCGAAGCGTAAAAAGAGAGAGAGAGCAAAAAAACGTGATTTGTTAAGATACACTAATACATAGTCAATTAGATGGAATTTTTAGATTTTTTTTGTTATCAATGAGGGTATAATTGGAAATTACGTAACTAATTTGATTCCCATTTGAATGGGAATGATCATTCCTTATTAATTCACTTGGAATGCTCATTCCCACAAACTGTGGGAATGAGCATACCCTAAGAATGAGCATTCCAACTCCTAAAAAGAGTTATGTGTGGTATAAAGGAATGAGAAGTGAGAATGACCATTTCATTACAGTTCATTCCCGCGTATCAAACGAGGCGTTAGGATACTCCAAAATTAGATTCATACGTAACAAGTAAAAGTTAAGAAGAGAAAGCGGGGGCTGGTAGACCATCACGTGCGAGAAAGGCCAATTGGTCCTCCTTATTAACTGTTGGTCCTTGGTTATGTAATTTTTTTTTTGTGGGAAAAGGTTCTGTTGGTGTACCTTTTTATATCCTTCCGAATTGAGTTGAATAATTTTAAATTTTTAAGATGGAACCCCAAGTTACCAATTGTTATTCTTGCTTCCCATGAGAGAGGTCACACCTTAAATTTGGCTATGACGAGACTTGAGAGAGCATCTCTCTTGCAGTCAAAGGATGGGAATTGGCGACCTCAATTATTCTCTAACTTTTTACATATGGTTAATGCAAATGTCAATAGTAGTTGTTCTTTTTCACCAAATAGTAGTATATATAGATGGTGAAAACAGTTAGAAACGTGGAAAAGATCGCCAACCACCAGTGGCGGAGCTATATTAGTGTCGAGAGCAGCATTATAAAATACTACCGATTCCGAACTTTAGAGGCATTTTTATTTACTTTTACTTGTATTTATTTTTTATAAAACCATTAAGGAGGAAATCCCCTCCTATGATAAGAATATCCATTAATCTCATAAATATAATCGTAATAAGTTATACATGGACATCAGTGATAAGTTATACGATACCACTGGAAGTGCCCCTAGAATAAAATTTTGACTCTGCAACATCCACCCACCAACCTCGAGAATTATATGCAATAGTTTTGCAATTTTTTTAATACAACTTGATTGAATTGTACGACAATGAGGACAAAGATCACAAAAAATACATCTGAAGTGGTACAACAATTCATTCTCATGATGGTTGGCAGGGAGAAAACAAATGAAGAAAGAACACATGCTAACATTTCAAAAACTTTTTTAACTGATCTCTAAGAAAACATCAACAAACTTTACAGCTTTTACTCATATATATATATATATAATTACAAGCCTATGATAAACTTACAGCCAAGTGCAAAACATGAATATTTTCAGCAGAGCTTCAATGCATCCCTAAATCCAGTGCTCAAACTATTTTGTAGACCTTTCCTGGCGATTCCAGCATTTCCTTTTTGCATCATCGCCACAAACTCATTGTAGTCAATGCGACCATCCTACAAAAGCACACAAGAAAAATTACATAATCAATAGCGTGTAACACGACAACTTGCTTCTCGGTCGCTTAAAAGCATACATAGCACAATGAACAGGAACCTGGATAGCGTAGACTGCATGTTTTATTAAAATAAATGTAAAAAGTAAAAAAATGATTTATTAGGAGCATATTTATAAGAAATATAAACTTTGCATGAGATTTCTAAAAATTTACAAGTTACTAAAAAGTAATAAAGAGCGTTTTATACTTTCCCCACTTTCATGTTACATATTCTCTACTCATGATTAATAGTTCTATACAAATCAGAAAGTAGGCACACAAACATTAAAAATAGGCTTAATTGTTGGGAGATCCCTTGTATTACCACCAAATTACAGATAAACCCTTGAACCCTTGTTCTTCTATTGTTGCATAAACTTGGATTCTCAACTCCTTTAATTTCACGTCAAGATTAGGCTTCATGAACTGAATAATATGTGACCTTCATCCACTGATTTACTTCCTATAAGCTTGCATAATGATCATTACATAACCTATGTTGCATGGGTGCTTCTATCATGATGCCATACCTGTACCCATACCCGCACACAACATACATTTATTCAAACGTGTACTCAATCATACAATACATTTTTTTAATTTAAAATCCATACACTCCTTGGACATATACATCCCACACTTCACATTTATTTTTGAAACTTGTTGGACAAGAGTGATGTTCGTTTCAGCCCATATTCAATATAAAGTATGACCGCAAAGGGTTGGTTGCATATCTAGCTCAGAAATCTTCAGCCATGTGTATCAACAGCGTCCCTGTACACTACCTTTTACAAATTTGCCGTGACATACCAATACCCGCACCCCTATCCATACCCATGCAACTTAGAATAAACTAATTTAAATGAGAAAACCAATGGAGAGAGTCTATTTGCAACAATAGAAGTACCGGTCTAGCCGCAATTAACAAAAATAAAAATACAAAATACAAAAAGACAAAAACATACAAAATATAAATTATAAAGATAAAGTTATGCTTTTTTGGGTCAATAAGAAAAAGTTATACTGAAATAGCTTTCATTATATTGAATTGAATAGTACTTGCAGTTTGTGCTATTTCAAAATGCTATCTATAACAGAAAAGATTTGATGCTACATCACACATAATTTCCATA